CTGCATTTTATTTCTCCCCCCTCTCTCTCTTTTTCCTGGCTTCTTCCTGTCCTCTCTCCTTTGGTGGGAATTGACACAGCTCTTAGACGGACTGCATCAGCTTGTTGGCTGCCCAGTCATCTGCTCGGAAGACTCTAGCTGGGAGGTGATGCTGATAAATGAGGTCACAGCTTTTCAGATCCACATATCAATGGGGTGTCACCCCCAGGTCAGGTCCTTGGATAGAAATGCTAGTTAAAAGTTCTGATTTAAGAGGAAACAATAGCTATGTGAGTACAGTATTTAAGTTTTTCCTCCAAGAGAAGGTGTTTGCTTTGCCTTGTAAGATGCAAGGCATCCTGGCCCCAAATATCCCTGATGTTTATACCTGATGGAGGGAGGCCCCACTTGATGGGAATGCAAGGATTATGGTAAGGTTCCAGAGCCTTCTCAGTGCTGCATGGCTGTGCCCTACCCTTCCTCCCCTCAGCTCAAGCAGAGGACACCTGAAGATCCCACTTGTCCATGGTGTGAGTTAAGTGGGGGATGGGGAGGTTCCCCTGTATATACTTAACGTCTCTGGGTATGTAGCCACATGGGAACAGAGGCAAGACATCTGCCAGGTTTCACAAAGGGAAAGAAGAAAAGGAGCAGTTAACCTGGAAGCCAGACAGGATCAATGTGATTTTCCTCTCTGCCTAATGTTTTTTAATTGCAGGAATTTGGATTACATGTAAACAATCTAAAGTCCAAAGGAGATAATTGCTACTGATTTTAAATCTCTACTCATTTGGAGCAGACAGTGGGCCAGAATTTTCTCTGATACCTTTGTCCCTGAAACTGTCATCTGTGATGACTGCCTTCTGAAGAGAGAAACCAGAGAGAAGGTTGTTTGCAAGCAGTCCCTCTGCTCTGCTTAAAAATCATTCAGGGATATCGGGATCTGCTCATTGCTATAATGAGGACGCAGGCAGGCAGAAATTCCGTTTTTACTACTGGGCAGGAATTTAAGAATATCGAATCCAACCTCCTCATTTTGCAGTAGTAGAAAGTCAGGCTCAGGCCAGGAGTTGAAGACATAATCAGGCAGAGCCAGTGAGCCCAGTGCCCTTCCTACTGATTCCCTTTGGCCTTTCGTAGGGCTCAAACTCCAAGTAAGTAGTAAGCAGAGTTAAGAGCTGGCTCCATGAATCCCCCCAGCAATATTCCCACCTAATCAGCAGGACAGTCGTGGTTTTCCAGAGCCCAGCCAGCTGTCAGGACAGGGATCCACTTCACCAGCAGGGAGAGCAGGATGGGGTAGGGTTGGTGTGGCAGTTCACCCAAGGTGCTAAGCAGGACAGTGTGTGGGAGGAAAATCCTGCAGGGGTCTCGCTCATGAGGATTCCAAGAATACATGACCATCCCTCCTGCTAAGCTAGGCTAGCTAGACCATTCCCTCCTAGCAGCAATAGATCCTCACAAAAAAGGGACCCACCTCTCTTTGCATGTACAGAACTTACATTTCCTTCTCAACCATTGCTCAAAAAGCTCAGCCTTTCTCAGGAAATCCAGTCCCCAGCTTCACATGTCTTATGTTTACTATTGCCTAGTAACTGAAGGTCCTCAAGGAACTGCTTCCTAGTTAATCTGCATACTTACACGAGGCTGGGATCCTGAATGTCAGCCACATGCCTCATTCCCAAGCCGAGGCTCAGGGATTCAAGTGCAGCCATCAGAAGTAATGGTTCATTGGAGTCGCACAGTAGTGTATTAATGAGAGTTCAAACTGACATCGCAAATAAAGCGTTCTCAATGTTTAAAATTACAACTCTGTAACAAGTCATGCTGTTAAAACATACAAGAAATACTAGTTAAGCCTTCAAGTAGAGACCACACACCCATACACATCACCGCTATCCCAAAGTGCAAAACAAATCATTTTCATTGAAATGAAGCAAGAAGTAGCAGATAGTTTCAGTGATTTGAGTGGTAAAATAAGAAGTAACAAATTTAAATATTAAACACCAATTACTACCTGATGAGTTACAGATCAGCTCGGCATTACAACATGCCCCTTCTCGGCAGCAAACCCAGGAAATGTGGGGGATTAGTGGAAAACACAAGCCCACATGTCACTTCCCAAGATGCCCATCCCCTGTGTTGTGAAAAAAAGCCTGGCCCATCTCATGTTCCAATAACATTGAAAAGAGCACTTCATTGCTATTAAGCTAACAGCTGGAAATGAGTGGTCATGCGTCTACTGTGTCCTCCTAAAGGAGGTCTACAGGTCAGTCTGACAGCCTGGAGACCAAAGACATCACCTCATCCATACAGTCTTTACTCCAAGAACAGGGCAGAAAATTAATCTGACCCTCCCTAATTGGCTGCAGGGACTAGGGAAACTGTGTACCACTTGAGGTCAATCAAAGATCTCCTTTCTGAGACAACACTTGGGAACTTCATACCTGGGTGGGACTTGGGGGAAGGGGAAGGTTCCCCAGGTCACAGCTCAGTCTCATCTTTCATGGGACTTCATGTAGTGTTCAGGCCAGCTGGGCTGTTCTCTGAAACCTCCACTTGAGAGCTCAATGCTATTGAACATTTTCATGTTCAGAAGTGACTGAAGGTCTTGGTGGGCAAAGGAATATTTTTTACAAGTATACATATATGTACAGGAGATGTTAAAAAGACAGTCTCTAAAGCACTTTGGGATTCCCCCAATGAAAGGCACCAGATAAATGCAAGTCATTACCAAAAAGAAAAGTCAAGTTTTCAGCTTTTACACCTGCAAAGATAACCACTAGGGGTACCTCTTTTTTTGGTGGTTAACCTGCTTGTTTAGAAAAATCCTCACGAGAGTGACTGAGTTATTCTGCCTCCTTCCTTGCTTCCACTTTGCACAAGCTTCAGTCAGTGACCATGCTTAGTGACCTGATACCATCAGCCTTGGCAGCCTGAACAGTCCTCATGAGTTTGTCCCATCACCTGCCTTCAGAGCAGATGGGGATGATTCGATAAATTTTCTGCCATACAGGGCTGGAAACAACAGCCCAAGCTGAGTTCTGGGTGCAAATTCTGAAAAGTAATCCTGCCTTTCTCACTCACTGGTGGTTTGCCTCTGTCATCCCGATGCTCCTAGAAATAGATGTAGACACGTCTGCATGTAGGCACTAAGAGGTTACCATGCTTCTGCCCCTCATGAGACTCCAGTCTGATGGAAGGATTTGAACTGGAGCCCAAGGGCATAAGTGGCCAGTGCATTCATCCAACAAATCACCCACACTGTAGTAGCCATGGCAACTACAAGTACTTCACAAGCCCTCTGAGAAGATCCTTTCCGCACCCCTGTGAGGTATGGATTATCCTCAACCAACTGAAACATAAAATGGACCTCTTAAAGGGAGGCCTGAGCTTTGGATAAAAAGCCTGCCTAACTCCATACTTAGATCCCTGGATTGTATAGCCTTGCCAAAGACTGAGCAGTAATCAAAGTTGCCTGGAAAGCCATCAGATTACCTAGAATGATGGAAAACAATTCTTACAAAGAGTCCCAGGTTCGGTTCCCCTTCACTATGTTACAAGCTGGCTTACTGAAGAAGAGGAGTAGGGAAATTTTGGAGAAAGAAACAATGGTCTCCCTTCAACATAAGCTTAATTTAAATGTCTTTTAAATAGCCTTAAGCTTTTCAAGAAATTTGCAATTACTTATGACATTTTGTGAAGTAGCAATTTTTTTGTTTTATAATTTCTTTCTCCTGGTCTCCACCCACCCTCCCCCAACAAATAACAATTGCACCTGCAGTGTTTCCATCCTGGTGAGCAACACTGCCTTCTGTGTATTTCTGTTTTGCATACACACTTCTATATCACCAGGTTTCCATGTCATGGCAGGAACTCTGGAGCAGTCAAAATACCATATACATATACTGTATCCTAGAAGCAAAAATATTTGAGCAAATTCTACTTGGAAATAAAATGGCTCTCATTTTATAAACTTTCAGAGCAGGCAATTACCTTTGCTAGCAACCTAACAATGTTCACCTTAAGAGACAATACAACAGTAAGCTTTCCAGGGTGAGAAAGACAACACCTTACTCCTAAACATCTTAAAAAATAAATATTTCAAAAACATGCTAATATTGAAGACACAGCAAACTTTGGTCAAATGGCCTAGAGTAGGAATCTCAGCCAGAAATAAATGTCTCTATGATCCCCCTAGGAAACATAGAGGTCTGACCTTGAAGGAAAAGGCTTAGTCTACATGGACTGAGCCTTACAGGTCCTGAGGGTTGGCTTATGTTTAGCTGAAGTCCCTGTCCCTAATGTATCCACTTTTGGAAAAAACTTCAATCTTCACTACAAGTTTAACAGAGTAACATTCTCTAAAGAGTGACATTTACAAGATGAACATCCAGCTTTCTAAAAATGGTTAGTGTGCCCATGCAAACCACAGAACTAAGAATCACCTAGAAAAACAGCTCACAGACTCGCATCGGTCATGTGTGCTTAACTTGGCATTCTTTTTGTTTTGGCATTAAAATGAAATGAAAGCAAAGGATAAAGAACTGAGATTGTTTTCACATGACTGTGAGCAAAATCTCTGATATCCTTGCTGACCTCATAGATAGATGTGTTTCCACTGGACAGACTTGGGGCTTTTTATATAGAACTCACAAGACAGCCTCAGAAACAGGAGCACAAACAACTCACAGATAGAACCAGGCACAAGCACTGGAATAATGTACATAGCAGACAGAGAAACTGGCATTCTTGGTACTCATCTAACAGAAAGATGAACATTTTATGCCCATGATGCAAAGATTACTGAGTCTGGAAGGTGCAAAGGCATGGTGTCAGACACACCACCCTCTAAAAATGATTCTAAATACTGTGAAAGCAACCTGGGGCGCATATCCCATGCATCTCTCCCCTGTGGGGTTGGGCAGACTCCTTACTCCATACCCCTCACGTGCCTGGACCGTGCCACAGGCACAAGAGGCTGCTCAGAAGATGGGTTTGAAGACTGCAAGCCCTCCTGGCTAATGTAGAGAATCATTTAAACTTAGTTCACTTGGTGAGCTCCTGCTCATGTTTGTCAGGCTTGCCATGAGGGATTTGACTTTATGGGCATAGTAGTCCCTTAAATTGACTGAAGGGACCTCCTTCATTCCATCTCCAAAGTCACAGCTGCGCATGGCGCTCTCAAGTTGCTTTTGACGCCGATAAAAATGGGAGAACTTATTGAAGATCAAGGTGATGGGCAGTACCACCACAAGGATTCCTGCCAAGATGCAGGCAGAGGCAGTCAGCTTCCCTGCTGTTGTCCCTGGGACCACGTCCCCATACCCCACGGTGGTCATACTGACAGTGGCCCACCACCAGCAGGCGGGGATAGTGGCTAGGCCCTCATTCTCCTCCTTTTCGATGGTGTAGGCCACCACAGAGAAGATGGAAATCCCCACGGAGAGGTAGAGCAAGAGCAGCCCTACTTCTTTGTAGCTGTACTTCAAGGTAGCCCCCAAGGAGCGGAGGCCAGTGGAGTGTCTGGCTAGCTTTAAGATTCGGAAGATTCGCATCAGCCTCAGGACCTGAGCCACCCTGCCCAAGTTGGCCAAGGTAGGTGAACTCTCCACCACCAGGTTCACCACTAGAGTAATGTAAAAGGGTACGATGGACATGAGGTCGATAAGGTTTAGGGCATTCTTGAAGAACTTGAGAAAGTCAGGGGCCACAGCAAACCTGGCCACCAGTTCAAATGTGAACCAGGCGATGCCAAAGTGCTCCACGATTTCGAACCTGGGGTCCTCGCCAGGGTTGCCCTGGCTGTCAGGAATTTGGAAGTCTGGCAGGCTATTGAGGCACATGGTGATGATGGAGCCCAACACCACCAGGATGGACAGGACGCTAAAGACCCTGCTCAGGACGAGTAGCCCGGATTGTCCAGAGCCAGCCACAGCTGCCGGCGGAAGTTGCCCAAGGGCTGCCCGTCGAACTTGGAGGCGTCGTTGTAGAAGGCCAGGATCTCATCGAAGGAAGACGTGGTGCTCTCCTGGTCGCTCTGTTCATCCCACTTCTCCTGTTCAGGCTCCACTTTGCGGCCGTGATAGCTGTAGCTGCAGCAAGAGTCAATGAAGAACTCGTTGATGCCCCAGTACTCGATCTCCTGGCTGAAGGAGAAGACGCACAGCTCAGCCATGACGTGAAGCTTGCCGGTGTGGTAGAAATGCAACACGTAGGGGAAGAGCTCAGGGTTGCGGTCGAAGTAGAACTCACGCTGGACGTCGTCGTAGTCATCGCAGAGCTCCAGGATGGCCTCTCGCGAGTGGCAGAGCAGCAGGCGGCCCAGGCGCGTCTCGGGGAACCGCAGCAGCGTGTGGGAGCGCAGCCGTCTCTTGAAGCCGCCCACATTGATGCGGATCTCTCCATCCTCGATGTTGGCCTCGGACACGTCCCACAGGCTCTGGCCGGTCATGCTGGAGATGCCCAGCCGCCCGCGCCGCGCGGGGGCGCTACACCTGAAAGCGGAGGGCAGCGCATCAGCCCAGCACCAGGCGCTCCCCGCCCCAGCGCCCTTCGCTTTCTCTCCACCCATCTCTGGCGGGCCCAGTCTTCTCCAACAGAGTCTATAGCTGCTGTAGGGCACTGGGGTGGGGGAACCGTTCTGTGGGGGTGTGGGGGTTTGCCCCCCTCCTAAGAGAAGACGGGGGTGTGTTTCTATTAGTATGGCCGTGCCTCCACCCCACCCCCACCAGGGGTCCTGGCGATCGCTTTTCGTGTAGCAGGGTCGCATCCCCGCGACCCTGAGAGCACAGGGGGCTGCGTACTGACCTTGCCCGTGGGCAAGCCAAGGAGACGCCCCCGCCCGCGCGCCGCAGACAGGCGGGACCTGAGCGGAGATACGCACCCGCAGGGCTGGGCCGAGAAGGGGGCGCGTAGATTTGGGAGGGGGCGGAGAAATTCACTGCTCAAGCCTGTAAACCTGGGCCGGGGCGGGGCGTGGGGGGAGAGAGGGGACAGCTCGGCGTCCCTTGTGTCCAGCCCCCACGACTGGAGCCCTCTTGCTTCCCCTCCCTGGGTTCCCCCGCCCTCCTTGGCGCCGAGCCCCGGGGCCGCGTGCGCTGCGCCTTACCCCGGGCTCGCCTTGCGCGTTCTGGGAGCGCTTACCTGGGAGCACGGGCGCCCGCGGCCGAGGCCGGCGGGAAACTTCCCCGACCTGCTGGCGAGCATCGCAACGGTCGCCGCGGCCGGCTGGCTGTGCGTGTGTGCGCGGGTGCGAGTATGTGTGCGCCTGTGTGTGCGCCCGGCCGGCAGGCGGGCGGGGTCCTCCGAGCCTCTCCGCCTGTCTCCTGCCCGCCACGCCGCCGCCGCCCGCAGTTCCCAGAGGCTCACAGGTGGCTGCGTGGCTCCGACGCGCTCGGAGCCCCCCTCTCCCGATCCGCGCGTCCCCCACCCGCCGAGAGAGGCAGGAGCCCACGCCGCAGGCGCCTGCGGAGCCGGAGCGGGAGCGGAGCCCATGCGCCTCGGCGCGGGCCCTGCGCTGGGGTGCGGCGCGGTGGTGCTGAACGGACAGCTCCACGCGCCTCTGTCCCCGGGCGCGGCCGCCACCCGTGACTGGGAAGATGCAGTCGCCCGGGCCGCTTCTCTGCTCTCCTTCGCGTCACTGAGAGCCCCCTTGCGCCCCGAACTCAGCGAGGGGCCAACACCCTTCCCTACACCCCGCATCCTACGGTGACAGCTGTTATTGCCACCACCCCCAGGGCGCAGGCAGCGGGTTGCCTGGCGGAGGACCAGCTAGGGAATGAGGGGCGGCTTGTGTGAGTCGGAGATAGGACAGAAACAGAGGGTCTCCAGGGTTCCCCTTTTAGGCACCTGAAGAAAAGTTTTCCCAAGCGTGGAGATGGGATTGTTGGAGAACAAGAGGTGGAGGGAGAGGAGAGGTTAGGGAAGCCTGAAGTTGAACTGCAGAGAGGTTAGGGTTGCAAGGGAGGAGCACAGGTTCCACTGACGTGGGAGGGAGTCACGGAATTCTGTTTGGGAACTCTGCGTGGGCATTGTATGTGTGTGTGTACAGGCGGGTGTGGTCTGTGGACTGCAGGGAAGTGCAAAGAGCTGTGTGTGTGTGTGTGTGTGTGTGTGTGTGTGTGTGTGTGTGTGATCTGAGGAGAGTAGGAATTTTCAATGTCTGTGCACAGCACTGATAAAAAGGGGTCATTTGACGGGTGTGGAGATGCATGCAGTGTGCCAGTACAGGGGGGATCCTGGGACATGTGTCAGTGTGGTGTGTGATGTGTATAATGTGGGATTGTGTGCTGTGTGCAACAGCATAGACGTGTTCACTGTCTGTATTCCCATTCCCAAGAAGAGAAATGGGCCTGCATTCCCTGGAGCCCCTGCCCTTTGGTCTCTCAGCCTTTGCATGGTCCCTATTTGCAAAGACTGGAACACTGTGGGTATGTGAGATTAGCAGGGAGCTAGTTTCCAACCTGCCTGAAGCCAAAGTCCTGGGATGGCTCTTGCAAGGTGACTCTGGACTCACAGGGTAGCCACAGTTGGAAGCACATTGTCTTTGCATGGCCCTGGCAATGACATCCAGTTGAAGAGGTGCTCTGTGTAGCTCTGGAATGCTTTGTGGGGTGGGTGGTGTTAGCCTAGCATATGTGAGGCCCTGGGTTTTGATCCCCAGGACCACAAAAACAAAACAAAAGAATAGCATGCTTTGGGTTCCTTGGAGGGACTGGGGAGAATCCTTGAACTCGCTTTATGTTGAAGGTTCTGTGTCCAAGCCTGACCCATTCCTGTGCAGCTGTTTGCCTCTGAGTATGTGTGACTGTGTGTGTGCACCCATGTGTGTGAGTACTGTCTTCTCAGAGGGTTCCATAGCTGTGCCCCTGCAGGCCTCTGTGGATGTGGGGAATCCCAGCCAGATACCCCTATGTGAAAGAGAATAGGGAGAAGAGGTTGGTGAGGGCCAGGCGAGCTTCCTTTTTCTTGTGTTTTATTCTAGAGGCATGTGTGAGTGTGTGTGTGGGGGGGGTGGGGGGAGAGACAGCTGACAATTCGTGTCTTTGTCTCCATGTCTACTTCTATTTCTACAGGAGTCTGTTTTTTGATGTAGGCTCACCCCACCCTCTGTTTAGCACTGCTGGATCTATCAAGTGAAGTGTGTGCCCCCCACACCTGGCTGGCCTGCAGTCTCCACACTCCTGGGTCTCCTTCATTCCCGTGGGAGTGTTGCAGAGAGAGCGCCAGCCTTGCAGAGGGGTGTGTTTTGTGCATATTTAATCATGGTCACAGGCTTGCCACCTCTTTTACTCTTCTTCAGTACCCCCTCACACACCTTAGAGAGGAAAGCTGGAAAGTTCCCCTGCTGCAGGTGCCGTTGGCAGCAGCACCTGGGGTCAATCTCCATGGCCCTGCTGTGCTCTCTAGCCCTCCCTTCCTTCCTCTCACTGACTTCTGGCCACTCCACAGCTGGCAGCCCCCTTTGACTTCACTGCCATGTGTCTGTGTGGCTTCTGCTGTGGCCACCTTTCCCTGCCACCCCCACTTCTCCTGGCCTCAGCTCCTGACCCCTCTGGCTGAGTTCGATGCATAATTCACCTTTGCCAGCTGTATTTGGAGGGTCGTCGTCCTGGGAACATTTGGGTTTGATTACTCTGGGGGCTTTTCTCCCTCCCCTGCCTTATTTATCTGCTTGTTCCTTCTGCTCCTGGCTCTTTTTGTTCTCTTCATTCCATCTTCCTTTGTGGTCATGGGAGATTTTGCACAGGGCCCCTCTGCCTTCTGTCTCTTTCTCTTCCATGCCCACAGCCACTTCACCCATTGACCGCTGGTGCTCTGACTGGTCCCTGGGGCTCTCACCCCTCCCATTTTTCTATTAGGGGACCACTCCATGTTGCTGTCAGCTCTGCCTTCCTGTCCCCCCTACCCCCCACCAACCACATGCCACCTCCTACCTTTCCTTTCACTCACCTTTTCCCCCTTGTTCCTTGTCTGTTCCTGCCCTTGGCTAGCTTTTCCTGCAAGGCTGGGGTCAGGGACAAACCCCCATATCTACCTTTCCTTGAATATCAAAGTGAACTTGGGGCCCACGAGGAGAAGGCAGAGTTTGGGACACATCGGTTATTTCTTGGAAAGGCCGAGGCAGAAGCTCCTGGGTCTGACAGATGCCTTTGCAGAGAGTTAAGTGTATATGACAGGCAGAGCCACTTGTTTATTTCCTAGGCACTGTGCTAAAGAGAAATGGAGCCGTCTCTCTCCTTCTGTACTAGGGAAACTGGCTTTGTTTATGGTTTATTTAGAGGTCTGAGCCCTGGTCTTAAAATACAATTGCTTGCTCCCCGGTGGTGCATGTCAAGGCTTGCCTGGGGAGATGGTGAAGGGGCAGAGAGGTGGGGGAAAAGCCACCCTGGGAAGGGGGATGAGGGGACCCTGGCAGATGGCCCAGATTCTTGCACCTGTGCGACTGTTATCTCTGCTTCCCCTGCCAATGCAGATCTCAGCTGAGCCCACACAGCTCAGACTCAACTCAGCTTTTTCCCCTGACAGGCGAGGGGGCTGCATCAGCGGCCTGGCTGAGTGAGCTGGGCTGCCTGACCTACATTCTCCACTGCGGGAAGAGCTGAGTCCCCATCCTTCCCTGGCCTGGGATGACAAGGGTGCTCATGACTCTTATGGAGTGGACTGTTCACCAGTGCCCATCCTGCTGCCCATCAGCTACTCTCTCACTGCCCCCCAAGTGTCCTTTAAGCACAACTGGATTAGGTCCTTCCATCCTGGAAACCTTCCAGAAGCTTCCCATTGCACTAAACAGGAAAGCTACTTGCCTACCTCCCACTGCTCCAAGACCCTCTGTGATGTGTCCCTACCTACCTTTCATCCATTGTGCCTGAGTCATGTGTTCCCTTTGCACCCTGATGGGCCCTTTATACCTACTGTTCTCTCTGCTTGTCATGGAAGTTTCCTGTGGCAGACTTTTTTCTTGTCACTCAGGTCTTGGTTTAAAAGTCATCACCTCAGAGAGGCCTGACTGCCCAGTCTAAATTTGGACCCCTCAGTCTATCACTTTCCTCATCACAGTTACATTAAATACTTACTGAATACATGATTTGGGATGAACAATCAGGGCTCCAACTGCTGTCTTAAGGTATTTTGTGCCAAGCAGAGTCTTAGCCCCAGCTCTTCTTCTGCCTGGAGTGGGAGGGATACCGTGCCTGGGGCTGGAGCTCCCACTCTGGAGCCTCTCTTCAGCAACCATTTGGATCTAGCAGCTTGATAGGTCTCACTCCTCCTTGCACATTAGGATAACCTGGGGAGTTTATACAACAAATGCTCCTAGATATTGTGGGTCTCACACCAGGCCTGTGTTTTCTGTGGTAGAAAGCACAGGCAATCAGTGTTCTTAAAATTCCCTACATGAGTCCAATGTGGAGAAAAGGTTGACAGCCTGAGCTTGAGGGTGTGGACCCAAGATGTGTGCTCACAAGCTTGTATCTATTGGTCAACACCAAAGACATCTCAGCTCCTAAAGTGAGGTCTGCCTAGAGCAGAAGCCTTTGTCTTTGCCTCAGTCGATCCTTGTCTGCAGAACGGTTTCCTGTGCCTGCTCGTCTCAGAATCCGTTACCTTAGAGATGATTAATATGGGATCAGGAATAGTTTCACTTTCTTCTTCACTTAGAAGGGGGTCAGCTCTTGAACCTTTATGACATTGACAGGGCAATGGGAATTGAGGACAGGAGACTAACTAGACTTCTGGGTGGATCTACAGTGTAAAGGATGCAGAGAACCTGCTCGGCTGGAGGCAGGCTGGGGAGAGACAAGGGAAGTAGGGAAGGGAGATGACTGGGAGAGGGAAACCAGGTTTGAGCCTGAGGCCTTGGAAAGGCCAAAGTGGGGGAAGAGAGGAATAAAGGAATGCAATTTTGTGTGGGTGGGGGCCTCATTGGGAGAAAAGTTGGGGAAAGAGATTTTGCGAAGTTTTGCTGCAATTTATAAATACAATTGTTCACTGTTTTCTCAGGAGGCAACAGTGAATTTATATAAGTGTGTATTGACATCGCTGGAGTTTGAACTCAGGGCCTTGTGCTTGCTAGGCAGGTGCTCTATCGCTTGAACCATGTCTCCAGCCCTTTCTAACTCTGGTTATTTTGTTATAGGGTCTCACTTTTTGTCCAGGCCAGCCTGGACCATGATCCTCCTATTTTGTGCTTTCT